ACGAAGAGTCAGAATGGCTGGCAAATATAGATCCAAGTTCATTTGATGAATCGGAGGAAAAAAAACAGCTTGATGACCAGAAAATTTCTTCATTTAATGAAGAAAATAGAAACAGCAACACAACAACGTGCCAATTTCGTTCTGCTTTGCATACTTCTGTCACGCACTCTCGTAAATAAATATCCATGAAATTCGCCAGCAGAAACAACAGTTTGGCGTGTTGGATAATAAATAACTTATTAGGCATTTTGTCGTATAGTATCGCTGAGTAAAAATTTTTTACTCGTTATTTGTATTTTGACTCACCCTATGGGCTCATCAAAATACGACACAACTCGTGAAAATACTCAGCGATACTACACAACAAAACGTCTAATAAGATATATATATTTTTCCACATCTGTGTAAAGAAGCAGCACTTTAATGTACAGAAAACAGTATGGAGAATATGCATGCTGATGTTACTGTGTTCAGGATTACAGTGAGCTCACATCAGTCCTATGCAACTTATTCAGGTTGCTAGAAGAGAATACAGAGGTCAGAGGTCGGTAGATGCTTTTTCAAAGTTCATCAAGGAACAGATGACGAGCAGAATTATAGAATTTCATGCCTTGAGTGATCTCAATGTTGATGTAAGTTTGATAGGAAAAATCAAGCATATAATGGAAAGATGGTGAGATCCTGAAAAATATGGCTGTCTTCTAGCCTTATATAGAAAACTGTGGAGATTTTTTCTCTGGTTGGGTAATGCGTAGATGATCTGTGGAAGGTAGTATACAGTACATATATATGTATTTGTTGTACATTTCCTTTCATTTGTTTGCTTTTTCTTATAAGAACTGCAGCGTTGAGGCTCATGGAAGATCTAACTTCTTTCACTTGCTTTGGTCTTTTTTGTCATTTTCTTGAGTTTACAAGTTTATATTTATTAGGATCGAAAACCTTAGACTAAAGGTTGCAATATGTAATTTCTTGTGAGGTACTTGTCATGCCCAAGTACTTCTACAAAGCAAGGTGTAGGAGCTTGTAGTGCAATAATTCTTTCAGCTTTGTATGTTGTTTTATTTCTTTAGTATTCTGGTTTTGTTTCTGTAGACTTCTAAGAGAACTATCATTGCTTACCTTGAAAGCAAAGACAGTGACAACTTCAAGACTTTTGAAAAAGTATGTTCCCATTGGGTGCAGTTTGTGGACAACATGACTCACATCAGTTTGTTATTAGCTGTTTTCTAAATTTTTGACAGAATCCGACACAACATCCACGTACACTGTAGCCACATTTAAGGAAATACCATGAGGTGACAATCAATGTGAACTTATGTTTGCTACAATGCTCTCCTTTACCCATTCATTGATGTACATTCACAGAAAACAGGTGGGGTGGGGGGGGGAGTTGTATGAAATTAAAGGTGCCTGGCATAAACTTGGTATGCTTCTCCAATATATCGCAATCTCAAAGGTGATGTGGCAATAATTTTGCGGTAGATTACAAGTTGCATGGGAATGATAATAAACAGACAAGTTTTGCAATGATGTTTCAGTGTTCGACAATACAATAGAACCCTGTTATTGTAAACTAATTTTACTTTCCTTTGGCTCAAGTCCACCACAATAATTTAAACTTACATACATTGCTTAAGAAACATCAAAGTGACAACATAGCTGATTGACCCATTCCAATCTTTAATTGATTCATTGATTAAATTTTTGGGCCATTGTTTTTCAAGTGTTTGTTTCTCATAAAACTGATTTTTTTTTTTTTTCAGGTGGCAGAAGAGTTTAGAGATGATTGCAGTTTTCATGTTGGAGTTGGGTATGTTTAGAGAAAAGCCTTAATTTATAAAGTCTTCTCAACTGAATGGGTGCATTGATTAGATCCAACTTCAGATTTTCCTTAAGTGTCACAGAGGGATGCAAGACAAAGCAAAAGGAGAATTAGGAAGTCTGATGAAACATTTGAAGGGCATTTTCAAATGACACCTAACATGCACACAGCTAGAGCAGT